GTTCAACTGTTCTTTTCATTGAAGAATTCAAGTTTGTTCATTGCAATGACATTTGTCTCCATGTGGAGAATTCTTTTGAAATTTTGTTCATTGCAGCAGAATTTGTGTCGAGATGGAGATTGTTAGAAATTGAATGTGGCCTGAATTCTTTGTTAAAGATAATTGAGAGTTCTAATTAAAGTGCAAATTAAGAAGAATTATATTTGAAATGCAATTGTTGAATCATATTCAAGCTTATTTGACAAATTTTAATTCAAATTTTATTTGCAAGCCCATTGAGAGTAGGAATTTGTGTTAGACCTGATAAAGACATTGGGATGAAGAAATTCAAGATTTTTTGGAGCAAAAGATCCGAAAGTGGGCATCGCTGTACCACGACAATTTTGGTTGTCCAAGCGCCACAGCACCACCCGTTTATTTCGCCCATGAGCGATTTATTCCATCCTTCTCTATTTTGGACTTCGTTGTTGGCATTATAATTCAACTACAACTCTATCACAAGGAGTTGGACGTCCCCCATTTGTTCTATATATATATATATAATTTTTCATTATATTTTAGACGAAGTTTGACAAATCATAAACTTGTAATCTTTGTATTCTCTCTCCATATTATAATAAATATCAATTCCCTACAAAATTATATTGTTCTTGTGATCTTTACTTCATATTGTGGCCTAGTCTCTTATTTTTTTCATAACAAATTGGTATCATAGTTTTTCAGTTTTCATAACAAAGACGTTGAAATCGGGGATTTTCTCTTCTACTTATTTTGTTGAATGTTTTCTATAAGTACTTTTTTATGGATTTCTACTTTTCTCTTTCAAATTTGTAATCAAAGTTTTAAAATGGTGTGAATTTCTTGATGGGATTTTTAAAATGTAAACTTTATCTTGTATGAATCTTCTTGTTGTGGTGTTGACGTGGTAGAGATACCAACATGGTGGATATAGATGTGAGAATGGTGTTGCTTATGAGTTTGTGGTGGTAGCGAAGTTTGATTGTGTTTTTGCTAGCGAGGTGGGGTTAGGAGCTGAGGGCGGTGACCAAACGAGTAAGAAATTCCCTAATTGGTGGTAATTTCAATGGCTGGACGGAGCTAGGTAAAGGATTTAGGTCGGGTGGATTGAGAAAGATGAATGCTTTTTTTTTTTCGTTATTTTTTTCTATTGTGTAATTATTTTAATTAAATAAAACGTAATTGGCAATATACTCCACTAACATTTGCTTATTTTGTGGAATGCCTCGTAACAGTTTATTTTGGCACAAAATCCCCTAAATCACCTCAACATTGAGGAATATGCATACCGTCTATACCGATAGTTTACACGTTAAAAATAGTAAACAAGACCAATATGAATAAATGGAGTTTCCATTACTACAATCGCTTGTTGATTTTTCTCGATTCGTGTTTCAAACAAATGGGGCCTTAAGTGAGTATTTGAATTTGAAAAAACGAAAATACCCTTTGAATTTTAATTCATTTTGGTCGTCTTACTATTTTTAACGGGTAAACTAAAATATATAGACGACAATTGGTGGTCCACAACGTCTGGACGAATTAGGGGGTTTTTGCGTCAAAAGTCAAAACAAAAGATTATGACGGTATTCCATGAAACAAGCAAACGTTAAGCGGTATTGGGCCATTATCCTTAATTAAATGTTAAAATATCACTTAATCATACATTAAATTGACCAAAATAAGGCAGACGTTCGATTTTTTTTATATTTTTGGAAGGAAACATTTAACAAAAACTATGACCTTTCATTGACCTTCAGTTTTTGTGTCAAATTGGAGGCTGCGGAAAGAGTTAATTAAATCACTGCTCACCAACATTTGGACATGGTTACTACTTGCTCACCCAAGAATAAAAGGTAACTGGCTGCTCACTCATTTTTGTACAAAGTTATCCATCCATCACTCATGTTGATTCCATTTATCCACATAGACAAAAAAATTACATGTGGCATAGACAATCCTACATGGCCGTTGAAAATTGACACATGGACAAAAAATCCTTTATTTTATACACTCCAAAGTGGTGTTGGAAGAGGATATAGAAGAAGCAGCAGCAGCCATAACTGTTTTCTTCAAGCACCTGCGTGAAGAAGGTAGGACTCATTTGCACAAAGGCGAATAGAATGTTGTGGGGATTCGTTACAATCCCAGATCTTAAAACTCTTAAGAATTTCAGGCCCAGTTTTCTGTTCTTTCTCAAGAAATTTCCCTTTATTTTCTGAATATACTATCATCTCACTGGAACGGCCATTGACTTCCTTCTCCCCTTCTCCATTAGAATCGGAATTTCCATATCTTTTAGAATCCGTTTTCCCTTCATTCTCGGGGGAATTAATTTCTCCCCCTTCTTCTTCAATTGCATGGGGTTGTTCAGAGGTACCATTTTCTCCTCCTCCACATGATAATTCCATTTGGGATGAATAAATGAAATTGACAGAGAAAGAGAGAGGAGAGTAGGAATCGTAGCCTCGCAGGACTGCAAATTTGTCATCTGGGCTCTGTTTTTATCTCAAGTTTGTGTAGTCATTGAGCTCAAAACTGGAAATTTGAGCTTCTTTTAGAGAAAATTAAGATTCTTATTCAACGCTATACTGTGATAAGGCGGTGGAGGTGGTCCGGTGGAGGTGGAGGTGGTCCGGTGAGGTGGAGGTGGGGATGAATGATGATGATGGTGGAGAACGATGATTCCAATTTTTAAGAGAAAAAACGCGTTTGCTGGAATGTGTTCTGTCCATGTGTCAATTTTTAACACCGTTAATGGCCATGTAGGATTTCCGTCCGCCATGTGTAATTTTTTGTCTAAGTGGGTGAATGGAGTGATGGATGGGTAACTTTGTACAAAAATGAGTGAGCAGTCAGTTACCTTTTATTTTTGGGTGAGCAAGTAATAACCATGCCCAAATGTTGGTGAGCAATGATTTAATTAACTCGCTGCGGAAACCATGTATTTTTAATGGATTATGGTCTATGGACCTACTTTTAGCCCAACAAGCAATTTGGAAACCCAACTACTTAAGACTCCATTTCACCTATTATTCCCATTTAAATTATAATTCATTTATCTTTTTCTTATCAATCACACATTTTTCAATAAAATAATGTCACACGTAAATTCAAAATTTTTTCTTCTTTTTTAACCACGTATTTTTCAAAAATTATTATTCCTCTAATTATAATTTGAAATAATGAGAGCTAAACTTCTTTTTTTAACCACACGTTTTCTAAAAAATTACTATTCATCTTATTATAATTTGGAATAATGGGAGCCATATGGACACTTACTTTGCTTCTCCAGGAAAAAAAAAAAACAGATGTTTGATTTTTAAATGGAGATGTAGGGATCGAACCCCGTGCCATTTAAGGATGGCAAAAAAATCCATTTAACTAGATAACCATAGGGTCCCGCCTCAAATGGGGCTAAGATTATCCGCCTAATCAGGTAAACAGACAGGGATGGGACGAGGTTTATTACCCCGAAGCGGGTATGAGACGGGTACGGGAAACATAATCCCCGCCTCGCTACCCATCCCGTTTAAAGTTAATTTCAAATTTAAGTTTTTTATCAAACAAAAATAATATATTTATCATCATTTTTTAAGAGAACATAAGTTGCTTTTAATAAATTGGTAAGAAAATAATAATATTTACTAACTAAAGATATAAAAAAAGTTAAAAGTAAAAAATAAAATAAATAAAAAAGAAAAATAAAAAATAAATGGGGCAATAAATAGGGCATAAAACTTACCCCGCCCCCAACCCGTCCCGTCCTACTTTAAGCGGGTATGGGGATGGAGTAAGATAACAAAAAAACCCTATAGGACGAGGGTGAGAATGGCAAACTCGTCCCACAAGGGCGGACGCAGAATTTTAACGTTGGGGGGCACAATCGAATTTGTAAAGAAATTGGGAGAAATTTTATAATCGAAAATTTACGTCTAAAAAAATCATATCTCATGTAATTTTACATCCGAAAATTTACATGGGATATGACTTTTTCGGATGTAAAATTTCGAAATTTTCAATTTCCTAATAAAATGATGAAAATTACATTGAAAATTTTGTATCGTAAAAATAATAAATGTGAATGAAATAATTAAATTTTTTTTAAAAAAATGCGAGTTAGACGTCTTTTAAAGGTTCACGGTTAACGTCTTTTTAACTATTTTCGATATATATTTGAAATATTCGATATGTCCATAATGTAGTTCTTGAAATAAGCTTCGCAATGGTATAAGCAATTTGTAGATTCGATTAGCGTACGATATTTTAACTATTTTCGATATATGTTTGAACTATTCGATATGTCCATAATGTAGTTCTTGAAATAAGTTTCGAAATGATATAAGCAATTTGTAGATTCGATTAGCGTACGATCGTCGGAGAATTTTTAAAATTAGTATATTTTGAAATTCAAATTTATTTTGATTTTGCCTTTATTAGGTGGAGATTAAAATCAAATTTTTAGTAAATTTTGATAAAAATTAAATATTTATGGATTTCATAAAATATGTTATTAAAATTAATTGTTAACTTTTATTTAGATTAAAATTTAAATTTCAATTGATACCAAACGTGATTTTAAAAAAAAAAATCTCAAAAGTTGGGGGGACATGTGTCCCCGGACCTCCAGACCTGCCCATATCCGTCCCATTATCATCCCTAGTGTCATTCTAATGCAAAACAAGCCTTCTTCCATTTGAGATTTATCCCAAGATTCTAATCGGCATTTGTTTTTTTTAACAATAATTAAATCTAGAAGAAAGTAGGCGCAGTCATTTCCTACGTTTTTCATGATAATTATCTTCCTCGTAATACATGTTGGATTATAGTATTATTTTTTTGTTTGTATATGCCAATTTTAAGTAAGATTTCCAGAATGGCTCCATCCCCATCCCAATCCCAATCCCAATCCCAATCTTTTTCCCGAAATCTTCACCAATTCTTATCCTGTTCCTTTACATTTTTCAATTTTCCCATAAAAGATGAGAGAACAAGATCAGCAAACAAGAGTGCTATACGAGCTGTGTTCAATGATTATTCACATCCTCCGTACGCCGCCGCTTCCCGTATCGTTTCCCAGCCTTCTAGGCCCATCTCTTCTGTCGTCGCCGCCGCCACTGCAGAATTCTCCGGCGGCTTTTGGGTCTCTGTTTCTTGGGATTTCAATTGCCTTGATGTTGTTTGGATCTGTGACTTTTATAATTGGGCTCATATTGATGCCACTGGTGATTACACTTGTGTTGTTGTTCTACATTGTGGGGGTTATATCGAATTTATCAGAATTTGGCCGGACCATCCTTTGCCCTGCTTCTGATAAGTTTCCTCCAGGCAACATTTACACCTTATTTTCTTCTTTTTAGAGCATGTTTCACTCTTTCACTTCTTTGTTTACTTTTAAGCCAGCCAAGACATGCTTTATATGTTCTCATATATTATATTCTGTATTTGGCTGTCTCCTTGGCTATGTTTGTTTGCTCAAAATTGAAGCTTGAGGTTGAAATTACGGAATGGAACTCTAATTTCATGTACATAATCATATAGTATCAAATTATTTACATATCCATATGATTTGTTCCGTCTGACTACTATTCTGTCAAATAACTATAGTCTACAGAGACTCAACATGGTGTTGATTCTCGGCGCGGCTAGAAAATACTATCTAGAATGTATAATTATATTTCGGTATAATGCTGCAAAGAATTACTGTTTCCCGGTGGAATATTTGTATACATAGCATCTGTTTACATTTGCTAGATTTTGAATGTACTACGGTAAGTTGGAGAGTTACAGAACCACCTAAAATGCTATTCAGCTTGATAGGAGGACACCATTATGTCTGAGAAGAGAATTAGTTTCTCATGGATGCAAAGAAAGAAAGAGTTGGTTTTTTGTTTATATGATGGTGGATCTATATCCTCTTGGACCTTGCCCGTTGAAGAATGAATTGGCGATTCATAGGCAGCGGCATTCAAAACACAAGTATTCAGATTTTTATTTTTTCCTCTTCTTTTTGGGTATTTTAACCACATTTATGTTCCAAAGATTTAGGGCTGATGGAAAGTATTGCTCGAGAATGGCATACCGAGGGACAAGAGGCAATAACTGTTGTGTCTAGTTAAGTTTTAATTTTTAGTTATATTAATATGAACAAGAGTATAATCTAACATGGTTTGAGGTTTTGATTTTTATTTTGGTCACAGTTTCCCTCTTTACATACTAGTCAGTGGTATGCCCTGAAAGATGAATCTCCGAGGCTAGGAGTCAAATAAGTCATTCAGTCCAGCTTGGGAAGTTTTTTAGAAGTTACTCTATGTAATGAAAAACAAGGATAGGCAATATAAAATTAAAAATAAGAACATAAGATTTACGTGAAGCCCAAGATGGAAAAAAACTATGGGCAGAGGAACAAAGATGATTACAAGAGGTACGGCTACTACGATCCCTCCACTACCACCACATGCACCCTTTTTTTCTCATAATTTTAGTTTCACCAAGAGTGTGTTTGGTAGGGATTTTTGGGGGAAGAATTGATTTTTGAATAGTGATATGATGGGAAATGTGTGGTTGAAAAAGAAGAAAAAAGTATTGATGTGATGGAAAATATTATTTTATTGAAAAATGTGTGGTTGAAAATGAGAATTGATTTACTGTAGAAAATGAAAAGCTGTACCAAACAGGCCCCAAATATGTTGCACCGTGGGCTTTTTAGGGCTGGGCCAAACAGAATTCGGGTCACCGTACTCTAGCATCTATTTAGAAAACATATCAGGATTGTGATGTCTGTTCAATAGGAACGAATACATTCCAAGATGTTAATTAGTATTACAAGATAAGGACCCCTTTGCTCTCATGGCTAATGGTTGTACTGCCGAAACTATATTAGTGACCAAATTAGCAACTTTTGAATGCTAATTATACTATTTGTAACTATTAACCTTCCTGCAAGTCCTCTTTTCACATTAGGTGCTATGCATTGCAGCAGATGTCATCAATTTCTGTTTTCTAGTTGTTTGAGAATGTGTTAAAACAATGATGAGTAGATCAAATTAAAATATCATGTCTTTATTTTCAAGGAGCTAGTTGGTTTCTATGTTCCAGTGCATCTTGCATTGAATTCAACGGAGTGGACAAAAAGGTTTCAAGTAGCCTACCACAAATATATTGGGAACACGGCTTAATTTGTTGTAGATGTTATTGATGCATGCATGTTTAAGACGTAGGCATTTGGAAACTTAGATCATGCTTCTAGCTCTTCTTTTAATCTGCTTTTGGATTTTTCTATATAGGGAGCTTCGTTTTGCACATTAGATGTTGTTCAGCTGATAATTCTTAGATATGCATTGAAACATTGTGGCATTTGATTTATTTGTTTACCTACTTGTTTATGCGTGTGCAGAATGGAGTTATTCAAGTTGAGGCATCAAGCTGGAGAAACAGAAAAGGAGACCATTTTTGACACTAGCCAGAGTAAGAAAGTACGTAAGTTTAGCAATTATCTTGCTTGATCGTGCATTGCCAATAGGTTTGGCTACTTTTTATGGTTGGTGGTGCGCTTTTCTTCAATCGTGTGAAAGAATGTGTAGCTAATATCGACGTTGGATATGTAGTATCATTTTTCCACTGCATAAATTTTATTTAATCCACCTCTGTTTTGCTATCATGCTTTGCCCTGTCTCTTTAAATTTTACCTGCATTTAAACTATATGTTGAGAAGACGTTTGGCAGAATTTTGAATTGTGTGCCTTTAGAAATAATTACCAAAATTGTCTGTAAGCGATACAGATAGATAATCATCAGGAAATTTCAGTTCATGGCAATACGTAAAAGTTCTTGATGACAATCTAGAGTTTAGAAATGGGAATATATGCCAACAACTTGAGTCACAACATTTGAGGATACATGAAGGAATGATGACTTAGGTAGTAAGGGCATGTTTTATGAATATCGTTCATGGTAAAGATCCGTAAAAGGGGACAAAAAGTAGGGTATGCATATTTTAAAAGAGGGAGGGATGGCGTGCCTTCCCTCTTCAAGTTCAATATCGTGGGAGATCTTTGATCTTTGGATGACTAGACTCTTGGCTTTTCATTTAAAGAACATGACTCTACAAAGAGGAGACGATATGTTTATACTAAAATATTAGTTTAAATTTGTTTATCGTGTTTTTGACTTGTCTCACTTGGTAGCATTTGATTCCAAATTTATTAAGAATAAGACTAGTTGTTTCTTGTCATCTCAAGTCGTGGGGATGCAACTGAGATAAACTCAGTATCACTTCAGAATAAGAAACAATGAAAAATAAAAATAAAAAGAGTCAATAGTCTTAATCGAATGAAACAATGAATCCAAAGAAAAGAAGTACAAGATGGGTAATGATGGTGATTATTTAAACTAAAGTTATATTATCTAAACTAAAGTTATCCAATGGTTGTGTGAACGCCGATGGCAATGAGGAAAATCATGATCTGGGCCATCTGGCCAAAAAAGAGTGGTGTGGATGATTATGGAAATTGCATGATAACAAAATCGATGACCCTGCTCTTTCCACAGTTGGAAAAGAAGTTCCGGAGTCAGTAACACGAATAGAACAACTGCCATCACCACTGTCCCCCAATCAGCCATCCAATCTTGGGTGAGCGCAGTGGCGAATACATATATTTGAAATTACTTGGGCACAATCAAACTTATAAAAATGTTACGAAAAAAATAATGTATTCGATGTCTTATTATAATTGTTCTCTCAACGATACTTTGATATTGTTCCATAATTACATCATTTTCAATACCGTTGAATACATACTTCTCAAAATAAGCAATTGAACATTAACATCATAATTATGTATTGGAATTCTTAATTCCGAATCCGAAGAAAGCTGCACAACATCAAGTTCAAGCCTTTCATTCTTAACATTATCGACATTAGTTTCAATCTGAACATTTCCAACATCAAGTTCCTAACATTCAGTCGTCATTTTTATCTCTAACATTAGTTTCATATAGAGGAAAAAATAGGCAGGAAAGTAGAAAAAAGGGAGAAAAATGAAGAAAGAAAACGAGAAAAAGAAAGGAAGAAAAATTAGGTGCCAACTTCAACTCAATTTCAATATTCAAATTTCAACAAACAATTTGAATTTTGCCATAATCAAACAATCAGACAACACAACAAACACAATTGCATAACAGCAACCACACATCAGTCTGATAGAATATTTGAAGAATTAGAAGTGAGGGTTTTACCTTTGGAAACAGGCTGCGGTGGCAGAGTCACAAGTTCTTGCAGATGCCAGACAGAGACGAAGAAGAGAACAGCACGGCACATCGCACAAAATGAGAAATCTGGAGTCAGAATTGGGTGAAGGAAGGTTTGAATTGGGTGAAGTTGTGAGGGATTGGACTCTCAACAATTATGGTTGTTTGTGGTATTTTATTATTAAAAAAAAAAATCAAAATTTGTAAAAATTGGTGAGTCACTTTCCCCACTATGACCCAACGTCCGTCCACCCCTGGGTGAGCGAGACTGAGAGTTGGCACCATAGCCACGGCACCTTATGTCAGGGCCATACTATACCCACGTCTTCTAGTAAAAAGAAAAAAAAAAAATCATATATATATGTATGTATGTATGTTACACATCGCCAGCGAGGCTTGGTAAGAGGCCCCCATGTGGCAGTCCACATGGAAGCCATCAAAGAGCCTTACCAGGTTCCACATTCCACGTCATCAAAGGTGACAAAAGAGGCACCTCAGCTGAAGTCTCACAACAACTGAAGTACGATGATCGAAGCGAGAAGCAATACCTGTTTTAGCCGATGCGCGATGCCGAAGCCCACAAGCAAAATAGATACACTTCAACTGAAGTGTCATGTGAGGCTGAAGCCTACATGAGCAAAAGTAGAAGCTTCTTATTCTGAAGAGCACCTTTCATCATCACTTCTCCCAAGAGACGTTCTATACACAAGATCCTATGGAAATGATTGATATAGTCCCCTGTAGCAGCATATTGTCAACTCATGTCAGCCAACTACATAGATATTCAGACATAAGCCACAGAGTGGTTGTCGTTTCAGACAACGTTAAATGCTACAAGTCCTATGATGTAGAAAGTGACATCTACAATGGGACACTTCGATCGTTCGGATGAAACCACATGCATCTTCATTCAATGGTCACCACTTCATCCAAACCATTATAAAAGCTCACAATTTACATCAATTGAAGGTAATGCAATTCTAATTCTTAAACATTGTAAGATTGTTCTCATCTCTATATTTATACATATTCCTGGTGTTTGAACACTTTAGTGGCTTGCATCTTAAAGCTCGTTCCACACTCACTATATTTCTTCCCGTTAACTGATTTGATTGTCGGAGTGACTAACGATTTGTCCAAATGTGTAAGAAAAGAACTTTCGTGGACGTAAGTAGACTAGGAATCTGTTGGTCATGTCGGAGGTACAAAAGTCGAGGTCAACAATATATATTATAATACATATATAAGCGGGTAGGGGTATTAATTTCGCTCGTCGACTTGAGCTGTCCATGGCTCGGCCAAGGAAAAGCCCGACCCATGGCCTACACTTGTGGCTCGTTGACTCGTGTCACGGGCAATTTTCGAACCATGACGATCTGGAAAGAAAAAAATAAAAAATAAAACGTAGGAAGTAGCGCCGTTAATTGTATTTTTTAAAAAAAAAATTCTTAAGTTGGCTTGGTTCGACAGGCCTGAGCTTAAAGCTCGGGTCGAGCCTAAATTTTTTGGCAAGCAAAAGTTCGGCTTGACTAGGCTCAGCTCGGGCAAAAAAAAAAAAGCCTCAACTAAGTTTTGGCTTGCGATCCGATTCGACTCGGCTCGTTGACATTCCTAGTAGCGGGTGGAGTTCCAAGTGAGTAGGCGGGGGCTCTTATTGGATGCCTATCATAGATACTTACCTTCGTTACTAAGATCGATATGTCAAGCTATCTAGGACCCTACTTCCTAATAGCTAGGCACACTCATAGGAAGATGTTCTTAACCAAAAATACAACCATGTCAAAGATATCTAATAAAATCACATATTTTTCTTTAGATGGGTGAGATAATTAGGCTTCACCGGAATAATCCTTGTTTTAGATAATATTTTTATTTTTTATGTAAGAGATCCTTGATTTTCTAATGTTAGTTGATAGAGTTCTATCAATTCTAAGATGTTCACCAGCTTGCTTTTCCACCTCTAAGTAATCTACTGGTTAATTTAGGGTTCATTTGACATGGCATTTGTTTTTGCTTCTTATATAAGAACTTCTTGAGGGAGCTAGCTTCTTCTAAAAGCTATTCTAACTCGAAAAAATACTTTCATAAACTTAAACAAATGTGTTCAAAAGTAACTTTTGAATCTCAAAAACTCCTTGTGACTTTTCAAAAGTCATGCAAAAACAACAAAGTCTAAATGTTCGACTCGAAAACAACATGGACCGTTTGAAGTAGCTTAAGAAATTAATGTGATTTATGGTAGACCTATTGGACGGCTCTAGAGTCATGGCCCATTTAACCCTTCTCTTGGCCTAATTAGAGTCTAACATATTCCTTTATATATATGTTGCTTGCCCTAGCCCTTTTTGGTGTGTGTGATTTGTGAGAAATTGAAGAAAACATGGCTTCAAATTGAGAGAGCAAAACATTGGGTTTGTTTGAGTAAAAACCATGTGGCTACCTTTGCATCTTGGTCTCTCCTTTGTGCCTTCCTCCATTGGTTTTCTTCTTGTCTTTGTGGTTGCAAATCAACGCCAATATCTTGTCCTTTGTAGGTGAGATTGAGAAACAATCGAGATAAATATATTGGTTGTAAGTCGGAACCGTTTGGGTTGGTTTTTTTGATAAAGTGAAATCGAAACCAGAAATCACTAATTCAAAGATCTTGGAGCGAGCTTTCGTAACAAAGGAAAACAAAAATAAAAAATCATCGAGGCACAACTAAAGGTCGTCCCTAAATTAATCGATAATTGTATCAAGTTATTCTGAATTGTGCATCTGTCCCTCGTAAGGCGTTCTTAACAAAAATTACTTTGGATTTGAGTCACCTAAATTCAGAAACTCAATGCCAAATGGTTTAGCGCCCCGTTTGGCCCCATTATTTCACGTTATAATGGGCGGAATAGTAATTTTCTGGAGAATGTGTGGTTAAAAAAAATTGGATTTATGTGTAATATTATTTTATTGGAGAATGTGTAGTTGATAAGAAAAAACAGAAAAGTAAATTATAATTTAATGAAAAATAATTGGGGCAGGGTCTAATTGAGAATGAATTGGCAAAAGATGCATACATCTCAGCTCAAACCATAAATGATAAAATTCGAAACTCCACTAGAATTTGCTAGCTGCTGCTAATCGAAATCAGAAACAACAAAAATCAATTCAATCCCATTGAAACAAAATGATCTGAGTACATATTCAATTGAAAACTGAAATTTAAAAAAACAGATTAATACAATGAGTAGAGTGATTATCAGCCCATATACACATGAACCCCAATAGCCAACAAGAAAATGCAAATGAGAGCAAAATAGATAATAGAATGAACCAGAATGGATACTCCACTAGTCTGGAAGTTGCCGAACTCCACGAACCGGTTCCCACCCGGCATCTGAATCAGAAGACCCGGAGTCAACAGAATGAACAGCACCACAGCCACGAAAACTGGACCCCAATCCGACATATTGTATATCTATAGAACCAATTTTCTCGGAGGATTGGCCTGAACCGGAGTTTATGGACAATTGCAGATGCTGTTATAAAGGTTTATTAGGGTTTGCAATAAAGGGATTTGAAAAAGTGAAGGACGCTAATGCGAATTCACGCTCAGTGGATTGCTTTATTACGTAGATTTTGTCTTTTTTAGTGAAAGAGATTGATTTGGATTTTGGAAGCATGTGCATCTGGTTGCTTGGGAGATTGGAATTCTGGTTCTAACATTTTGTGCATTTCCTCCGTTATCACGCTAATTGATTCCCAGATTAATGAAAGATTCCATCACTAAGAATTGCACGTGCTATCACTTCATTTTGGTCGTGTTTCAGTCTCCACTTTTAATTCGAATTGACACCTTCGATATATTTACTACATTCATCGAAGTCCTTCAATGTTTTTGTTTTAAAAATGACTAACGCTATTTAACCCCACTAGAATTATAACTTCAATCTAGACTGCTAGATATTTTTTTGAATTAAGTAATAATATCAAGTCTTATTCATATTTTAGACTTTTCATTCTCCGGGTTTAGCCATGTTTAGGATATGGCCGAAGAAACATTGGATCCCATGAAATAAATTTCGTATAATTCACTAATTCGAGATAAAAAAAAAAAGCCAAAAATGTAAAATGATTACCTTTCTTTACTTTACTACACATCATGCCTCTCACCATACTCTGTAATCAAATACACTCTTATTTCAAGCCAAGTAGCGAAAACCTCATGCGAACCATTCAACAGCTTGCAAGTCGAGCAAGCTAGTTACATATGAGCTCGTCGGCTCGCATATGAATCAGCTCGTAATTGATAATTGAAATATAATTTGCAATAAAAAACTAGCGAGCCCTAAGCCAGCTTGCATGGTGGATCGAGCTACGTGGCTCAACTCGATCCATTTCAAACCCACACTATTGAGCCACTTCATCGAGATAAAATCCCTCCCTTCGCACCCTAGTCCCCCCTCTCCTACACAGGAAACTAGGAAAGGACTTAAGACATGGCATAATTTGGTTTTTTTTGAAAGAAATATTTATTTTTATCGAAAAATAAAGGTAAAACTATTTTTATCATGTACTAGACAATTCATAATTCAAAGGTGCCTTCAGGAACACGCACATAGAGAGTGCTTGGATGTTGTCACCTCGTGTCATAAAGTGTTGAATTCAGTCTCCTAAGGTATGTAACATCGAGTTTAAATGCAATGGTATAAATAAAATACAAAACAACTAAAATACAAAACAACCCAGGTGCTATAGATACTTAAATTTAGGAACACGTCAAAAAATTTAAGGAAAGCTCGATTGAATTTAAATACAGATAACAAAATAGGTTGTTTAACATGTAATAAAAAACAAATACATATACAGTCATGTGAGGATGTTTTGTAGACACAAGTTTTATGGATAAAAAATTGTTCAACCCCAGTGTAACATAAGATCCAATCAACTCCATTTTTACTTCACTTTCAGGCCTGAGCTATTTGACCCCAACTCCGGAAAATCAGTATGGAGAGAGAGAGAGAGTCCCCATTTTGCGTAACAACAAATTTAAGAGCGTACTTCTCGACTCATCTCACAATTTATTTCCCAGACAGGCTTCAGGAGTCGATGTAAGAAAATTCATCCAATCTCGGCTACAAACTAAAATGAAAACACCATGCCAACTGAGGAAATAAAATAAGAAACGGCCAAGTAGATGAAATTGAATCTATTTCGATCACTGAGACTTAAATTAGTACTTACTATCAAGTTCGTGGGCCTAGAGCATCAAAATTTGATGGGCTCCAAAAGAAAGATGGAAATTATTTATGGGAATAATACATATATCATCAGGTCTTAACAAAAGAGAAAAGAAACAGAGATTTATTTTATTCTTGATTACTCCCGTCGAAATTGGCAATTGAAAATAATCAAACTATTAAGATCACAAATTGGAAGTTATCATCATAGTATATCAGAATTTTTGAAGGCACAGATCACAAATTGAGGTGATAATAGCAAATTGAAAATGATGATCATCCCGAAGCAGATTTGAATGGTTTCGAAGTCATAATTGATGACAACTAACATTGTATTGTTGTTGTATCTTCCTATTTTTGAATTCACGAAGTAGTGTTGAAACTTCAATGGTGAGTTACTGTGAAAAAAAATTGAAAAAATCCATTGGCCTGCAAATTGTTAGTTGTTATGACGGAAATCACAAAGATCCACTGTTACTTGTGAAGCTCTTAGATTTTCTTTTATTGTGGTGATTATGTATTGTTTTCCCGAGTCATTTAACAAAGGGGTGGATTATGACTTCGTATTTTCCCCTTTGATTTTAATTTTTACAATATAATATAACTAGTTTATATTACTAACCGTGTTGAAATCTTGAGTCAGAGGACCGTAGCTGCAATTTTGATTCCGAGACTAAAACCACAATTTTTGTTGTGAGCCAATTTTCGCAAACTAGAGGACCTAGGATTCAATTTTAGATCATTCATGAAAGATTGGACACGACGGTGTTTTTCCCTTAACCAAGACATCATCGTTGTAGGCCAAGGAGCAGTGGTCGTGTCACCATGGGTGCGGTTGTATCATGATGAACATGTATCTGTGAGTGTTGCGCTACTGATCACACAGCGTTCGACACCTACAAACGATGCTTATATGTGACGGAGGAAGCAAAATTCATGATACATTTGTTACACTAGTGGGGTGGAACTTTCGGCCATTGTCTTCTGTTACGAAAAATGAGAATTGTCATATGAAAAAATAAGAACAATAACACAAGATTTACGTGAAAACTCAATTTGAGAAAAAATTACGGATAGAGAAGGAGAAATTCACTACAACAAATATGGAGGATTACAAAGTGTGTAGAATGATTTTTCCAAGAGGATTACTCCTCATATATATATAACACAAAGAAGACCTAACATAGTCATAATATAACATGCCTAACAAAATAATTGAGCGTTTAATAAATTGCAAAAATAGCGAAAAGATTTCACCAAGATAGAACCAATGCTTGAACGGCGGCCTTGCGTTCAACAAGCGGTAGCACAACCATTCTAGCGATCGCCGACGGTTAGTGAATGGTGAAGGTATTGCAATTTCACTTGAGCGACTGATTGGGGGGCCTTCACATGAATAAGACTCCTTGTCTATCTTTGACTTCTTCATGACTTATTCAAGGCATACTCCCGACTCCCAATAGAATTCAAGTCACAACAGAACTATAATAAATCTCTATCTTGACACGAATTCCACTACAAAGAATAAAACTTCACTCTTAAAATAAATTTTCACTTTGAGATGAATTCCAATGCCAGAAATAAAACAATAACTCTTCAACAAAACCCAAAATTCTCCAACAAAACTCTCTACTTCTTCCACAAAAGTCCCTTCAGGCAAACTCAACAATAAATATCAATCAAACCCAAGCAACTAGGGATGACAATGGGCCAGGTATGGTACGGGTCGGCCATCCCCTTCCTGTCGGATATTTTTGTTAGCTTTCCCTATCTTTATACCTAGTTAAAGCGAGATGGGGTGGGTTCGGAGAGGGACGAAGCAGGTTCTTTATCCTATTTGTAGTGAATATTATTATTTTTAATTTGTTAAGAACAACTCACGTTTTTTTTTAAAATGATGATATATCTTTTTTTTTAATTATTTGATAAAAACTTAAATTTGAAATTAATTTTAAACAGGGAGCATATTTTTCGTACCCACTTTGAGGCAACGACCCCCGTCTCGCCTTTACCTCGTTCACACGATTAGGCTAGGTAATGCCCACCCCATTCAGGGTGAGCTACGTGGGTATCGGGTTGAACATTTTTTTTATCATCCCTACGAGCAATGATCAATTTTTTGGATATAAGGAGTAACTTGATCATTATATCAACATGATTATCTTTTGTACCAATTTTGCTCACAATACTATCACATCGAGCAATAACATCACAACTAACTCCTTTTGAATAAGTAGAAGGTTTTTTCACTATTCTTGATACCTTCAGTCGTACTCAAAGCATAAGCAACCAAATATGTCTCACTGTGAGGCATGGAGCTCTAATATCTCTTCTAAGTCAGTTTTTAGCAATAGAATATTATGGTATCACTGGTGGTGGCAAAGTGATAATATCGTTAATTACTGAACTAAACTGATAGGTAGACTCTCTAGTATAGAACCTAAACCAAACTCAAACTCCACCTGTTTTAATTTCTATTTATTCGTATCAATAGATTCTATAGAACCTTACAAGACATGTAACTAGGCAGACCTTCTCTACCCTTTTATCACAACACAGACACCTTTACTAACTTTCAGTACTCCACCTTTATCAATGAATTTGTACCATTTTAAATCAAGAGTACTAAAAAATATAAGATTTCTTCTCAAATCTGAAACATGTCTCACATCATCAAGTATCCTGATAGCCCCATCAAATATCTTAATTCTAACCCTTTCAATACAAGCTATCTTACAACGCGTATTATTTTTCATTATCACATCACCTTTGGAAACTATTCATACATTGAAAAACAATCCCAATTGGACACATATGAAACATACTAACTCAATCAAGAATCCAATTCTCGCAAAGTTTGGACTTGCCTTTAAAAATAACTAGAAGTTTTCTATCACTGTAGCAATCTTCTACAATCTTGGATTCAAGAATTGCATTGGTTTATGCGAGTGTTTGGTGATTTGGGTCATTGAGGTTGTGATGGTTGGTTTGAGTGTTTTTGGAGTGAGTTTTGATTTCATGTCGATTTCTTTAGTTGGATTCAGCCGAATTTTTTGTTTGTTTCCTTCTAATTTGCAGTAGCTAATTTATTCTTATTCTACAACTTATAGTAGTCGGATTTGATGTGCCTCTTTTCCTTGTAATAATTACATATTTTATCGATGTAATTAGACTTCAATCTACCCCTCAAGTAAACACCAGAATTCTTTTTATGAACAACAAGGCCTTCTCCATGATCCTTAAATCTAAACACAAGTTTCATCTTCATCCATTCATCCATGGTGAGAGGCTTATGACTGCACAAAATATTATTTTTGAAAGGCATATATGAAGAAGGCAGCGAACACAACAAAATCAACTATAAATCTTCTTCATCGTACTTGACCTCCAGAGTCTCCAGATCAAACAACTTCCTTAAAGACAGTTAGGTTATCTTCTATAGACATGCCTTCTATCATGCAATGAGAATACTATCATTGCTTCAAATACAATTTATTTGTTAGACTTTTCTTCATGTATAAATGCTCCAATTTTAACCATAATGCAGCGGTGGTATTCTCTTTTAGAATGTCCTGAAGAATTTGATTTGATAGATGAAGAAGAATTTGAGATAGGATCTTTCATTCCTTACATTATTTCTTCTCCAAGGCATCATATAGGTCCATATGAGTGAGCACTGCTTGCATCTTTACCTACAATAACGAAAATCTAGTGTTGTGATCGGGGGCGGAGCTAGAAATGTGTCGTATAGGGGGCAAAATTTTTTAAAACTGAATGTACGAATAAAATTTATATATATCTAGAAAAATTGTAATAAAACGTTACATATTACAATTGTACCCGAAAATATTTTATAGCATAAAATTCATCTATAATAGAATCTAGATCTAAATTAATACTAAATTCTCATTCAATATTTAGTGTTAAACAACCAGCAAGAAAATCATCATCCATTTTGTTACGAATTTCCGTCTTCACATGTTTCATTACTGAAAATGCTCGCTCCACTGTCGCTGTTGNTCTTGGAAGAAGGTCAATCTTCCTCCATATTAAACCTAAGAGCATAAATATCAAAATCTCTTCAATATCCTATAAATTCCTATATAATTGCTATTGGCTAAATTTTCAAACTAACATTTCATAATCCTCTTAATTACTATAGAGAATTCCACATATGCAAGCCAAAATCCTCTTAATTATAGCAGATAATTTCACCCCTTCTTCCACTAAAATATCACGACTAAAAGCACATTGCATGAGCTGATGAGTGGAAAAGTTGTAAAAAATGTTCATTTTTTAGCACTCACAGTCATAGATAAAAAGTAACGCTCTGTGAGTGAGCAAGAGAAAGCAGCCAATGAAACTAAAACACGAACTAACCTTTTTTCTGCAGAAATTGAAGAGTAAAGTCTGAAGAAGAAGAAGAAGTGAAGACGGCATTCGGCGGATGGTTATAGTTACCGAATTAAATTTAACTATGAGAAAGCCTTTCTCACAGACGACGTTCGGCAGACGGTCGACGAAAAGTTTCGCTGTTTCGGGTTTGAGAAAGACTGAGAGAGGGTTTTGCTTTAGCTTTCGGTAAAGGGCAGGGACTAAAGGTGTGAGAGAGAGAGAGCAGGGAAGGTTTCGTATTTTGGGTCAATAGGTGAGAATTGGGTTTAATTTGACGAGGCTTGCAAATAAGGCTTTCGATTTTTCAAATGGGCTAGGACAGTGGGCTATTGGGTTGGACAGTGGAAAAAATTGGGCTTTAACCAATTTTTTTTCACAGAAGCTAGGCTTGTGTAGCCCACCCCTATTTTCGTCCATGGTTGCGATTCAAAAGCGAATTTTCATACTTTATGCTTGCTATGCGAAAAATCAAACCTCACTCCGAGTTGGTCAAACATCGCTCTAATACCAGTTTGCTACAAAAATGAGCATTGTCAATATAAAAAATAAAGACAAGATTACAGGACT